CAATTAAGGCTTAACTACAACAAGACTTCGTACAAAGACCACAAGGGGGTGCACCAAGAAAGCATAAAAAATGCGGAGAAAAAAAACATGACAGAAATGGAGGATATAGAGCTAAAAAAAACGCACTTTTGAGGGCTTTCAATAATTTTCTAGAAACTGCCGATAAACTTGATGAGAGCCTCAAGAAATCTAATGAGACCCTTGATGTTGTGATAAAGGACCAACTAGAAATTAAGCATTCACTGACTGAAATAAAGAAAATTATACAGACACCCAACAGCAGACCAGAGGAGCGCAAGAATCAACTCAAAGATTTGAATTGCGAAGAAGCAAAAAACACCCAACCGGGAAAGCAAAATGAAAAAAGAATCCGAAAATACGAAGATAGTGTAAGGAGCCTCTGGGACAGTTTCAAAGGTACCAACATCAGAATTATAGGAGTACCAGATGATGAGAGACAGCAAGATATTGAAAACCTATTTGAAGAAATAATGCAGAAAATTTCCCACACCTGGTAAAAGAAATGGACTTACAGGTCCAAGAAGCGCAGAGAACCCCAAACAAAAGGAATCCAAAGAGGACCACACCGAGACACATCATAATTAAAATGCCAAGAGCAAAAGACAAAGAGAGAATCTTAAAAGCAGCAAGAGAAAGAGACCCAATTACCTACAAAGGAATACCCTTGTCTACCTACTTTATGAATATAGAGCTAAATATTTGCCAAATTCTGACGTAAGTAAAATTGCATAGTAAAATTGTAAACTACTGAGTTACATGGTGCCCCGACCTGCAGGGCACGCTTCGTGGGTACACCGCACCAAATCCTGCAAAGGAATGAGAGGATAGGAGACGCGAAGAAATGGAGGCAAGACAAAGTTCTGATCAAGCCTCAGTTTTATTTTTACAGCGGTTGGTATTTATGTTGTTTCTAGAGGAGGGGGCGGGCAAAGGAAGTCGTTAAGGATGAAACAGGCTTTGGAATGTCGCAGCTTATCAGCGGAGATGTAGCTTGCTTTGTGCTTAGGGTGAGGGTATGTTATTTAACTCCAGGCTAAATCGCAAGGTTAACTTTTAACTCCAGGCCAAACCGGGAGTTGGCTTGGAGGAGCCAGAAACCTATTGTTGTAAGCTGGAGATGTATATGTGATTTATAATGGCTCCCAACAACATGGGAATGAGGGGCTGAAGTGGGACAGGAAGAGCTTTACATGCTGTGATTTTAGCACTGCAAAATAAACGGCAGCCAAGAAGATAAAGTGAAAAAGACATAAATGAACATGAAATGTGACATGAAAGAAATAGAATTAATTTTTTTGAGATCAGTTAGCAGTGCAGCCTGGGAAAGGTGTCCTCTCTCCACATGCAGAGTTCATGCCAATTCTGCATCCTGGCTACATAATTGGTACTACAACATCACTGGTACAACCACATCACTGGTACTGTAATATATCTGTTAGTTATCGAAAACCAATTAGACAAACAGCACAGCTCTAAGTGTACTTTCCTTCACCTAAAAGTCACAACCACAAATTGAAATGCCCTCATAAAATTTTCATCCCAACAGGATGGCACAGAGAGGGAATTAACTTTAATTATCATTTAAAAACATCAGAACTATTTTAAAAGATTCAATCAATAATATAATTCTCTAATACATCAAAAAATGTGTGCCTTACAATGTACCCAATATATAAGAAAGTGTACATAAGTAAAGTCCATATAATACACAACAGATCACAGATCTTTTTAAAAAAATATTTTTATTGATTTCAAAGAGGAAAGGAGATAAACCACTGATTGGCTGCCTCCTGCACGCCCCCTACCGGAGATCAAGCTCACAACCCAGGCATGTGCCCCCTGACTGGAATCAAACCCTACAGTCTGCAGGCCAATGCTCTATCCACTGTGCCAAACCAGCGAGAGCCAGCTCACAGATCTTTAAGGCAGAAACAACCAACTCCATGATTTCACAAACACACCAGGAATAAAATATAGCAACATCAAGTGAGATGGGAGTAGGATCAAATTTCTCTTGAAAATACTTCATATGTTTTCAATTTAAATGAGATAACACTCTAAGTAATTGTACATATGGAAACATTAATTCTTTTGATATATTCAAGTATAGAAAACATTACCTAACTACATTTGAAGTTTGGAGTATACTGTAGTAAACATTCTAATGTAGAGCAATACCGAAAGGCATTTTGGCTACCTATCTAGTGTGAATTCAGTGATACATTAAAATTCATAAGCAATTACATAGTTGGATAAAGTTTTAACATCGTAAAGTCATTTTAAGGCATAAATTCCTTGGATTTTTGTAAACTATATGTATATTTTAATAGTTCTTCCTCCCCTGACTGGTTTGGCTCAGTGGATAGAGCGTCAGCCTGTGGACTGAAGGGTCCCAGGTTCGATTCCGGTCAAGGGCATGTACCTGGGTTGCGGGCATATCCCCAGTGGGTGGCGTGCAGGAGGCAGCTGATCGATGTTTCTCTCTCATTGATGTTTCTAGCTCTCTATCCCTCACCCTTCCACTCTGTAAAAAAATCAATAAAATATATTTTAAAAAATAAATAAATAAAAGTTATTCCTCCTATATCATAAATATTGAACTTCTATCCAATTACAATCCCTGGTATTGACTGGGGCTGTAGGTCCCACTATATGATCTCCCACGTTTTTCACATTTAAGGTTTCCCTCTAGAATGAATTCCAATGTGAGGAATAAGCTACAGATGCTGATTAAAGTCTGTAGGACACTTTTTAAATTTGTATTGTTTCTCCCCAGTATGAATTCTGATGTCCTGTAAGGTTTGCATACTAAGTAAGCTTTGTCACATTCTTTATATCTGCTGGGCTTCGATCCTGTAGCAATTACCAGATGTTGTATGAGATACAAATAAGGATATACACATTGACATATGCCTCATAATTTTTAAGGCTCAATTTTATCATTTTCAATGACGATTCATGCCGGGAGCCGGTCCATCCTTGCTGCCTGACACAATCGCTGCAGGAAAGAAACATCTGCACAGCATATGTTTCAATGGACCTGGCATATATAGCATACTGTTCTTGATATGTTTGCTCCCTTTAGCGCCATGTGTTTTAACCAAGGTCACCTCTCCGAGAAAGGTTGTTTCCCCAGGTGGAGATCATTCCCTGAGGCTAGGGAGGGGATACAACCCCTTAATTAGTGCCAGGCGGGTAGTTAAGCTACATAATCTTTACTCCCTGGAATGGAGATAAGAAACGCCCTAACCTTTGTAATAGAAATTGACAGGATTAAAATCGGCTGGTATAAATACGGATGTAACAAGACAATAAACGTCAGATCCTCATCAGCTCCTCATCAGAACCTCATCAGATCCTAACCAGAACCTAGCCAGAGAACATGGCAAAAGATCCTGGACAGAACCTGGCTACAGAACTTCACTGGAGAACCTAGACAGAACATGGCAGGAGAAACTGGATAGAACCTGGCGACAGAACCTGACTGGAGATCCGGGCTAGAACCTGGCCAGAGAACCTGGCTGGAGAACCTGGAGAACCTGGCTGGAGAACCTAGCGAGAGAACATGGCACCAGAACTTGGTTGGAGATCCTGACCAGAACTTGGTTGGAGTTCCTAACCAGAACTTCGCTGGAGATCCTGGAGGGAGAATCTCGCTATGCTGATGAACTGAAACCAGTTTCCATGTCATTCATTCTTCGCCGACTCCGTCCACACCTTTGGGGACCCCTGGACCCGCTGGGGTTGGACCCCAGCAGATTCAACCATGGTTAATTCTTTGGATTAAAACTTTGTATTACTGCTGTTTCTCTTCAGAATGATTCCTAAAATGTTCAGTAAATTTGACCAAAGGCTAATAGCTTTCTCACATTTTTTACAATATAAGGCTTCCCTCCACTATAAAATCTCTGACGTAAATTTTAAGCTATGGGTTAATGCTCTAGCCCATTCTATACATCTGTAAGGTCTCTTTTTGTTCTGATGTTGATCAAGTACATTGGCTTTTAAAGGCTTTTCACATTCCTAAGGCTTCTTTCCAGTATGAATTCTGTGATGTTAAATAAGCTCACACAGCTGGTGAAGGACTTACCACACACCTCACATCTGTAAAACATCTCTCAAATATGAACTCTCTGCAGTACAGTAACACAGGAACACTGATAAATGGCTTTGAGACATTTTCTACATTTATAAGGCTTCTCTCCAGAATGAACTCTCTGATGCTCTGTAAGATCTGAGGAGCTGCCAAAGGATTTGCTGCATTCTCTACATTCATAATGCTTCTCTCCAGTGTGAACTCTCTGATGACAAGAAAGGGATGAGGACTGGATAATGGCTTTGCCACATTCATTACATTTACATGGCTTCCCTCCAGTATGAATTCTCTGGTGGCTGGTAAGGTTCCACCCAGTGAAGACTTTGCCACATTGTCTACATGTATAAGGCCTCTCTCCAGTGTGAACACTCTGATGATAATTAAGAGATGAGGACGTGGTAAGGGCTTTGGCACATTCATTACATTTATAAGGCTTCTCGAGAATGAACTCTCTGATGCATAGTAAGGTCTGAAGAGAAACCAAAGGATTTGCCACATTCTCTACATTAATAAGGCTTCTCTCCATGGAGAACTCTCTGATGATACATAAGGTGTGAGGAATGATTGAAGGCTTTGCCACATTCTCTGCATTTATAAGGCTTCTCTCCAGAATGAACTCTCTGATGCCTAGTAAGCCGTGAGGAGGTGACAAAGGATTTGGCGCATTCTCCACATTTATAAGGCTTCTCTCCAGAATGAAATCTCTGATGCCTAGTAAGCTCTGAGTAGGTGCCAAAGGATTTGGTGCATTCTCTACATTAATAAGGCTTCTCTCCAGTATGAACTCTCTGATGATAATTAAGGGATGCTGCAAAACTGAATGCCTTGCCACATTCTTTACATTTGAAAGGCTTCTCACCAGTATGAACTCTGTGATGTTGATTAAGGGATGAAGGGTGGCAGAAGGCTTTGCCACATTCTCTACATTTATAAGGCTTCTCTCCAGTATGAACTCTCTGATGATAATTAAGGGATTCTGCAAAACTGAATGCCTTGCCACATTCTTTACATTTGAAAGGCTTCTCCAGTATGAACTCTGTGATGCTTAGTAAGGTTTGAGGGGTTGGCAAAGGATTTGGCGCATTCTCTACATTTATAAGGCTTCTCTCCAGTGTGAACTCTCTGATGAGATGTAAGCTGTGAGGAGTAGCGAAAGGATTTGGCACATTCTCTACATTTATAAGGCTTCTCTCCAGTGTGAACTCTCTGATGAGAAGTAACATGTGAGGACTGGCTAAAGGCTTTGCTACATTCTCTGCATTTATAAGGCTTCTCTCCAGTATGAACTCTCTGATGCCTAGTAAGCTCTGAGGAGTAGCCAAAGGATTTGTCGCATTCTCTACATTTATAAGGCTTCTCTCCAGTGTGAACTCTCTGGTGATATATAAGGTTTGAGGACTGACTGAAGGCTTTGCCACATTCTCTGCATTTATAAGGCTTCTCTCCAGTATGAACTCTCTGATGCCTAGTAAGCTCTGAGGAGAAGCCAAAGGATTTGGCGCATTCTCTACATTTATAAGGCTTCACTCCATGGAGAACTCTCTGATGAGAAGTAAGGAGCGAGGACTGGCTAAAGGTTTTGCCACATTCTCTGCATTTATAAGGCTTCTCTCCAGAATGAACTCTCTGATGCCTAGTAAGGTCTGAGGAGGTGCCAAAGGATTTGGCGCATTCTCTACATTTATAAGGCTTTACTCCAGTATGAACTCTCTGATGAGAAGTAAAGTGTGAGTACTTCCTAAAGGCTTTGCCACATTCTCTACATTTATAAGGCTTCTCTCCAGTATGAACTCTCTGATGATAATTAAGGGATGATGCCGAACTGAATGCTCTGCCACATTCTTTACATTTGAAAGGCTTCTCACCAGTATGCACTCTGTGATGCTGATTAAGGGATGAAGAGCGGCTGAAGGCTTTGTCACATTCTCTACATTTATAAGGCTTCTCTCCAGTATGAACTCTCTGATGATAATTAAGGGATGCTGCGAAACTGAATGCCTTGCCACATTCTTTACATTTGAACGGCTTCTCTCCAGTATGAACTCTCTGATGATAACGAAGGGATGAGGAGTCAGCAAAGGCTTTGCCACATTCTGTACATTTGTATTGCTTCTCACCAGTATGAACTGTCTGATGTCTATTAAGGGAGGAGGAATTACTGAAGGCTTTGCCACATTCTCTACATTTGTAAGGTTTCTCCCCAGTGTGAATTCTCTGATGAATTCTAAGTCTTGAAGAACACCTAAAGACTTTGTCACATTCTGTACATTTATAAGGCTTCTCTCCAGTATGAACTGTTTGATGTTGTTTAAGTTTTGCAAACTCAATGAATGCTTTGCCACATTCTGTGCATTTGTAAGGCTTCTCTCCAGAGTGAACTGTTTGATGTTGTTTAAGTTTTGCAAATTCAATGAATGCTTTGCCACATTCCATGCATTTGTAAGGCTTCTCTCCAGTATGAGTACGCTGATGACGATTAACGTTGGAGGACTTAGTAAAGGCTTTGCCACATTCTCTACATTTGTAAGGTTTCTCTCCAGTATGAACTTTCTGATGTCGATTCATGTATGAGGCTTGGAGGAATGCTTTGCCACATTCTCTACATTTATAAGGTTTCTCTCCAGTGTGCATTCTATGATGAAGAATAAGGGTGGAGGGTATGCTAAAGGCTTTGCCACATTGTGAACAGTTATATGGTTTTTCATCCCTATGATTTCTATGATGTTGAGTATGTCTGGAGGACTGACTAAAGCCTTTTCGATTTTCCCTGAGTTTGTGTGTGTTTTCCACAATAGGAATAACCTGACGTATATTGTGAAAAGACATTTGGTCAAAGACATTTCCACTTTTACATTGGTCCCCTGTGAGCTCACTTGTCCGATGATTAAGATATGACTCTTGCTTAGATTTCTTCCAATGTTCAATCCACTGATAACTGCTATCTCCATTTTGTGTATTCTGGTGATAATTGGAGACAGAAAGATCTTTAGGGAATTATAATCACATTAAACATGTACACTAGATCCATAAGAACCATTTTGTGATACTCATGAAAGCAATCCTAATATATTAAAACTGGAGGCCTGGTGTATAAAAATCTTGCACTCAGGGGAGTATCCTTCAGCCCAGCCTGTACCCTCTTGCAGTCCAGGAGCCCTGGGGAGATGTCCAGCTGTTGGCTTAGGCCCACTTAGAGGTGGGAGAAGCTCCTGCCACTGCCTGTGCACTCATCAGCTGTGAGCCCAGCTTCTGGCTGAGCGATTCTACGCCTGTGGGAGTGCACTGACCACTAGGGGGCAGCTCTAATGTTTTGCAGGATCGGGCTGAAACCAACTCTCTGAAATCCCCTGACAGGTGCCGGATTGTGAGATGATACAGGCCAGAAAGAGGGACCCCAGAGGTGCATGACTGGGGGCAGGGAGGGATTCGACAGTTTGGCCAGCCAGAGGGGGACTGTGGGTAGGCGCCAGGGCCTGTCCGGCCCATCTTGCTCAGTCCTGATCAACCAGACCCCAGCAGCAAGCTAACCTACCGGATGGAGCATCTACCACCTGGTGATCAGTGCATATCATAGCGAACAATTGGGTGTCCTTAACCTATCGTTAGCATATTATGCTTTGATTGGTTAAACGGATGACCGGACCACCAAAAACTTAGTATATTAGGCTGTTATTATATAGGATGATAGACAAAATATAAACACAACACCTTAATTATTAGAGAAAGAAGAATGAATCCTTGTAGCAAAGATTGCCAAATGCCCAGCCAGCATGGCTCAGTGGTTGAGCTTTGAAGTGTAAACAAGAAGATCCTGGTTCCATTCCCAGTATGGGCACATGGCCCAGCTCAGGGATCAGTACCCAGTGGGAGGCATACAGGAGGCAGCCAATGAATTATTTTTTCTCATCAGTGATATTTTCCTCTCTCTCTTCCTGTTCCTTATACTCTGAAATCAATAAAAACACATTTTTCATTAAAAAAATCATAAAAGATTGCCAAATTGAGCACATTATATAGATATACTATAAATTTATACCTCTTAGAAATGATTCAATGAAAGTTTAATCCCATCCTCCCTTTAAAACAATTCAAATGATTATTTATTCTAGAGGCTACATGAGTTACTAGTTTTTCTAGATTTCCTTTCCAAGATTCGGTAACAATAAAAAGTTGTTTTCAACCTTCATGTCCAGAAACACCCTTATCTGCCAATGTCACTGACTTTAATAAGGGAGGTTTCCCAAATCCAAAGTACACCTGACATGGTTAGGTAACAAGAAATTTATTATGATAATTGTTCCAGATTAGTTCTGTTTATATTAATATCCTCCCTTCTCATCACACTGTTCCTCAAATTCCAAGGCTTTCATTAAGTGTACATTATCAAAGCGACACCTTTTATATCTTACCAGTATTATTTCAGGGAATAAATCCTGTATTCTGGGCTTTGGCATAAAGGCTTGGTTATCTTTAGATGGTATAGCTGAAAGAAAACAAGTTTTCAGTTTTGACAATCAGGTAAGTGCACAGCAAGTATTGACCAAATCACATTTTGGAGTACTCTAAGAGCCAGTGAAGAATTCAAAGAAAGCTCATGATAGGTACAAGGAAGAAAACTCACATCAAATAGGGGCAAAGAGTTGCTAACATCTGCCCATGATACCTGCTCAAACACCCTGTCACACAAGGGCAAAATATAACAACACTTCCAATTCCCAGTTTCTCTGCTGAAGAGAGAGATGAGGGAAGTGCGTGTTCAATGATCTCGCTCTTTTGAAGCATCTTCAAGAACATGTGTTTGTTGTGCATGACAGAGAGTGTGAATGGAATGGCAGTACACATTGAGTGCCCTGTTGTGGCTGCTATAAAGAGACAATGAGCCGAAACCGGTTTGGCTCAGTGGATAGAGCGTCGGCCTGCGCACTGAAAGGTCCCAGGTTCGATTCCGGTCAAGGGCATGTACCTGGGTTGCGGGCACATCCCCAGTGGGGGATGTGCAGAAGGCAGCTGATCGATGTTTCTAACTCTCTCTCCCTCTCTCCCTTCCTCTCTGTAAAAAATCAATAAAAACATATTTACAAAAATAAAAAAAAGAAGAAGAAAAAGGTAAAGAAAAAATTATGAAAAAAGTAAATACATATCTATCAACAAGTGATCTAAAAATCAAATGAATAAAAAATCTGATAAACAGAATAAACTGGTGAATGTAATAGAATCAGGGGCATGGAAATGGAACAGAATGACGATTCTCACAGGGGATGGGAGCTTATACATATATATAAGCCTAATGTGCATTTACAACTTCCCATGCATGAGGTAAAACAATCTTCTACAGGATGCTTATACCACAAAAGAAAGAAAGGATACTCTCACATATACGAATAGGGTTGACATACCGAGATGTCTACTTGTAAAAGAATAAGTGAAGTTGGACTCTTATTAAACACCATATACAAATATTAAACCAAAATGGATAAAACATAGAAACATAAAGCTAATAACTCAATCTATTAAAAGAAAAGTTATAGAAAAGCTTTTGTTTATTTTTAATATATTTTTATTGATGTCAAAGAGGAAGAGAGACAGAGAGAGAGATAGAAACATTAAGAGAGATTCATTGGTTGTCTGCCTCCTGCATGGCCCCTACTGGGAATGGGAGCCTGCAACCTGCTCATGTGCCCTTGATCAGAATCGAACCCAGGAACATTCAGTCCGCAGGTCGACAGTCTATCCACTGAGCCAATCTGTCTAGTCATGTAGAAAAGTTTTTATGAAATTTGATTTTTTTATTTTAACACCAAAATGAAAGGTAAACAAAATGAAATAGTCAAAAAGTATTATACCCTGTATAAAAGTATTATTCACATGAAAGCAAATGGTCAGTGTGTTAAAAATACAAGCTGTGAAATGGAAAAAAATATCCCCAAAGCATATTATCAGATAAGTAGTTAATATCCAGAATATATAAACACCTTTTAAAAATCAACATGTAAAAAAAAGTAACACAACTTTAAAAATGTCCAAAGCTATAGAGTTAACTAATCTGTAAGATAGAAGGCAAGAACACACAATAGGTAAAGACCGATTCTTCAGTTGTTCAAGTAGTTAATCAAAAATGAAACAGATACATGCAAAAATACTAAAACTACACCCTCTTTATAGGACGGGAACCAAACTGAACTCAGCAAGGATTAACAACAAAAATATGACACCTGAAACCATGGAAACACTGGAAGAAAGCATACTCAATGAACTTTACCATCACTCTTTAAAATACGGCTTTCCATATATCTTCCTAGGCATAATAAAGAACCCAAAATATAAAGAAATGAGACTACAAAAGAATAATTTGACATATCAAAAGAAACCACAAAATAACAACAAAAACCCAGCAAAGCTACATCCTCCAAAGCCAAAGAGCCAAAATATATGAGGAACTCACACAACTTTACACCAAAAAGACAAACAATATGATTGAAAATGGGTGGAGGACCTGAATACACATTTCCCAAATAGGACGTAAAGATGTGCAATACAGATAATAAACGAGGTTTAACTCATTCATCATCAAGAAATGCAAGTGGAGCCCTAACTGGTTTGGCTCAGTGGATAGAGCATCGGCCTGTGGACTGAAAGGTCCCAGGTTCGATTCCGGTCAAAGGCATGTACCTTGGTTGTGGGCATATTCCCAGTAGGAGGTGTGCAGGATGCAGCTGATCGATGTTTCTAACTCTCTATCCCTCTCCCTTCCTCTCTGTAAAACATCATGAAAAAAATATTTTAAAAGAGAAAGAAATGCAAGTGGACAATACCATGAAATATCAATCATACTTAAATCAAAAAACAACAAGTATTACTAATGCAGTGGAGAAATGAGAACATTATTGCACTGTTAGCAAGTTTATAAAGACACTAGAGGCCCAGTGCACAAAATTCATGCAAGAGTAGGCTTTCCTTTCCCTGGCTGCTGGCACTGGCTTCCCTCTGGCAGTTGGCAGGCACCCAGGACCCAGGCTTCTCTCACAGCCCTGGCTTCATCTGGAAGGACTCCAGCCTAACTGGCATTTTATGCTTTTACTATTATAGCTTGGTGCAGTCACTAACAAACACAGAGGGTTTTCCAACATTTACAAACAAGTACCAGGTAACACAGCTCTTTGAACTTCACAGAAAGCAACATATAACTGACCGTGTCTGGAAACGAATTTAGGTAGGAATATTCCTACTCTGTCTGGAGTTTGTCCTTTCAGGGGATTAAAACAGAGAACATGAATTCACAAAGATATACCCACCCATATATGCACTGCAGCACGATTTGCAATAGTGAAGATATCCAACTGGAAAAAAAGACTATTTTCATAATGATGCTCTACCATTTAAAATAAAAGACTTCATTTGACTTGACATGTAAGGAGACAAAATTTATATCTCAACTCATCTCCTTCAAGACGTGATTCACTATGTGTTTATTCCAGAGATGACACAATAGCTGGCTGCATATAAAATTTCCATGTTACTAAATATAAAACTACATTAATTTTATACACTTCAAATATTTGAAAGGCGAATATGTAACCAAGTTTGTATTTTAATCCATTGTATTAAAATGGAAACTCCCTAAGTATCAACTCAAACGTTAAAGAAAAAACAACAATAAATACAGCATTCTCAAAAGAAAAAAAAAAAAAAAACAACCAAGAAGCAACAGGCTGTGAAAATATATTTATAAAACTAAACATGGCCTGGCTGGTATGGCTCAGCGGTTGAGCGTCGACCTATGAAACAGGAGGTCACGGTTTGATTCCTGGGTGGGCATATGTCAGGTGATCAACGATTCTCTCTGAGCATTGATATTACTATGTCTCCCTCTCTCTCCCTTTATCCCTGAAATCAATAACAAATATCTATCTATCTATATATATCTAAAAGGGTAGGATGCAAAGCGTCCCCTCAGGAATTCTACCGGGAGACCGGGAGTTCGATCATTCACTATGACATGCACTGACCACCATGAAGCGAAGCAGAATGAAGGCCCCGCTGGAAGCTGGCATCTGGGGAAGGAAGGCCCCAGCCAGCAGCCAGGGAAGGAACACCCTAGCCGGTACCTAGCAGTCAGAAAAGGAAGGCCCTGGCCTGTAGCCAGAAGGCCCGATTGGCCCTGATTGCCAGCCAGACCTTGGGACCCTATCCATACATGAATTTTGTGCACCACGCCTCTAATATATATATATATATGTAACAAACCATACATCCGTATGACCATCCAGTTCATATGACATACACTGGCAATTGAAAAATAAATGTTCACCCGTGCATGTGTGACATTTGTCACCATCTGACACTGGCCTCCCATTTAAATTAATTCGAAGACAGTTTCGTGTGATGCCAGCATTTGTGATGGCTATTAATAAATCACAAGGACAAACTAGACAGAGTAGGAATATTCCTACCTGAATTCGTTTCCGGACATGGTCAGTTTTATGTTGCTTTCTGTACAGTTCAAACAGTCTGTGACGTTAAAGTTGTAAATACTTAATCACAAGGATAATTAGTCAAGCACTCCCAAAGTGTTTTTATTCATAAATGAGTGTTTTTAATGCTTTTTTTTAAATGTATTTTATTGATTTTTTACAGAGAGGAAGGGAGAGAGATAGATAGTTAGAAACATCGATGGGAGAGAAACATCGATCAGCTGCCTCCTGCACATCTCCCACTGGGGATGTGCCCGCAACCCAGGTACATGCCCTTGACCGGAAACGAACCCGGGACCCTTCAGTCCGCAGGCCGACGCTCTATCCACTGAGCCAAACCGGTTTCGGCAAGTGTTTTTAATCTTAAATGACTGCCATCTTGTTAGGTGTTTGGTGGTAATTCACCCTTTAATGTGGTATACAGGGAGATATTAGAATGAGGTTAATTACTTTATCACTCCATGTTTGTTTCAATGTTGTTTTAATAATGTGTTTTTGTTCTTTTTACATAATGTTTTGTTGTTTTTGTATTAGGGGTTTGTGGTTCTGATATCATGTTGTTACTGTTTACTTCACTAATCAATTTATATATTATTTTCATATACATTTTACTCATTTTCTTTCATCTCAGACACTTCTATTATAGACAAGGGCGATATTGAAATATCCCTTCTAATTAATTACCTTTCAATGTGCATGAATCTGTGCCAGGCCATTAGTACATTAATAAAAAAGTAAACATGTACAGGATAATTATGCAAAACACACAAAGAAACCGTTCAACTCAACATTGACAAAAGAACCAACATGTCTGAAAAGGGCCAAATACCTTTAAGGCACAGCACTACAAGATATATACACATAGAAAATCAGTGTAACAAGATCCTGCACATCTTACGTCACTAAGGAAATGCACATTAAAACAATGAGAACAAACAAACAGCACAGGCAAGCAACACTAAACCACCATTGTACAGGTCAGAATCCAGAACTGACCCCACCAACTCCCTTTGTGATGGTGGAGCAACTGGAACTCCAATCACTGCTGCTGAAAATGCCAAATGCTTACAGCCCTTGGGGAGATGGTTTGGAGGTTTTTATAAAACTAAATATACACTTGCCATGGGATCCAGTAAATAGGCTCCTTACTATTGAACCAAAGAGTTAACCTTTTTATCTACTGAAAAGCCTACAAGGGGCTGCTTATTCATAATCTACAAAAGCTAGAGACAAAGAAGAGGTCTCAACAGGTGAATGGATAAATACACTGAAGGATATACAATGAAGTCTTATTCACTTGTATAAAGATATAATACGTCAAGCCATGAAAAGACATGATACAAGCCTAGATACACAGAACTAAATGAAAGAATCCAATCTGCCCGCCCAGGTAGCCCAGTTGCTTAGATGATAGTACCAATATGCCAACGTTGTAGGTTTCATCTCTGGTCAGGGAACATACAAAAAAAAACCAATCAATTAATGCCCATCTGAAGTTTCTATCTCTCTAACTCTCCCTTCTTTGCTGAAATAAACATGATCTTCCCCTAACCGGTTTGGCTCAGTGGATAGAGCATTGGTCTGTGGACTCAAGGGTCCCAGATTTGATTCTGGTCAAGGGTATGTACCTTGGTTGCAGGCACATTCCCAGTAGAGGGTGTGCAGAAGGCAGCTGATTGATGTTTCTTTCTCATCGATGTTTCTAACTCTCTATCCCTCTCCCTTCTTCTCTGTAAAAAAAATCAATAAAATATATTAAAAAAACAACAGGGTGGCCAATTGTGGGCGAGCAGTCAGACATCCCCTGAGGAGCCCCAGATTGGAGACGTTGCATGACGGGCTGAGGGAAATCCTCCCCCCTCCCCGCCCCCCCCCGTGCACAAAAGGCATTTGGGGGCAAACAGGCTTTCGGGAAAGGGGTACAGGGGGACGGGACACTTGGGGCGATGAGGCCAGCAGGGGGGCAGTTGGGGATGATCAGGTCAGCAGGGGGGCACTTCGGGGCAAGCAGGCAAGCAGTTGGCGGCGATTAGGCCGGCTGTGGGTGGGGCAGTTGAGGGCAACCAGGTCAGTGGCATGGGCAGTTGGGAGTGATTAGGCCGGCAAGGAAAGAAGTTGGGGGTGAGAAGGCCGGCGGGGGGAGTCGGGGAAAGATGGGGGCAAGCAGGATGGCAGGCTGAGTAGTTAGGGGCGATCAGGCATGCAGGCAGGTGAGCAGATAGGAGCCAGCGGTCCCAGATTGCGAGAGGGATGTCTGAGGGGTCCTAGATTAGAGAGGTTGCAGGCCGGGCTGAGGGACACCGAGACACTAGTATATATATATATATATATATATATATATATAATTTCGGGCACCGGGACACTAGTGTGTGTGTGTGTCTGTGTGTGTGTGTGTGTGTATACGTTTATGCATGTACAGTGGTGCCTTGACATACGAGTTTAATTCATTCCGTGACGGAGCTGGTAACTCAAATTACTCGTATGTCAAATCAGTGGCGTTCTCTGTGATGTTCGCTGCGCCAACTAGCGGAGGGGTATTTAAAGCTGACTTGCAACCCAAATTTTAGCTCGCAACTCAAAGCAAAAAATCAGCAGAGAGACGGCTCGCATCTGGAAAAACTAGTTAGTCGGGACATTCGTAAGTCAAGGCCCCACTGTAAGTACGTATGTATGTACGTATGAATGTATGTATGTATAACGCCTTCAGTCTTCGCTAATCTGCTTCACGCCTCCATATGAAAAGTAACCGCCATATTTGTTGGTGGCTAATTTTGCATATCACGCGGATTAGCGAATGGGACTCATAGCGAAGGTATGGGCAATTATCCTATTTGTCTATTATTAGATTCCATATATATATATACATACACGCGAGCAGACACACACACACACACACACACACACACACACACACACACACACATGGCTAATGTACAAATTGTCCTCTCGGGAGTACGACCCGGAGAGCAGGAGTTCCATCACTCCCTGTGATGTGCACTGACCACCAGGGGCCGGTCCAGAAGAAGGATGGAGAGCAGAGATAGCGGCGGGGCACTAATAGAGGGAGGGGAGGAGGAGGTGGGGAGAGCGGAGACCAGGCCTAGGGATCCTTCTCATGCACGTATTTCGTGGACTAGGGCTCTAGTGTAGACTATAGAATATTCTAGAAAATGATTTTTAAAATATGACTTTCTGATATTACCTTCATTAGTGTAGACAAAATGTAATGTGTGCAAACACTGAGTTCCTAATTCACACACACCAAAAGTGTTTCTTTTCTACACCAAGGAATTCCCCATTTGTTCCTTTTTAAAAAACTATATATATTTATTCCTTTTAGAGAGGAAGACAGGAGAGAGAGACAGAAACATTAATGAAGAGAGAGAATCATTGATCAGTTGCCTCCTGCACACCCCATACTGGGGAGCGAGCCCACAACTCTGGCATTTGCCCTTGAACAGAATCGACACTGGAACCTTTCAGTCTGGAGGCCGGTGTTCTATCCACTGGGCCAAACCAGCGATGGACCAACGTGTTCCTTGAGAGCAAGAATCTACCACAGAAAAGAAAAGGCCATGGAGATGTGAAACAAAAACCTGCGGGTAGAGTAGGAACTCAGGAAGGAAGTCATCCTTACCCACGGACACCAGGTTGCTGTAGTTCTCCAACATCACATCCAGGTACAATTTCCGCTGATCTGGGTCCAGGCATTCCCACTCCTCCTGAGAGAAATCTATGGCCACATCCCTGAAGGTCAACGGTCCCTGAAAGATAAGAAACATTTACCAAGAGGTCTCCAGAAGTGTTCACAAAGTCACCCAACATGAAATCAGTGTCAGAAGAGGTTTGGACCTAGGGGAGTACCCTGAATCAGATACCTTTGCCCCAGGAACATTCTCTGATATGTGTTCTAACAGTGACAAATGAGGATGACACATGTCCATAGATCCAGGATTCAGATTTTCCTATATATAAGAAAATAAACTTTAAAATTAAGTCATGGCCATAGCTGGTTTGGCTCAGTGGGCTCAGGTGGATAGAGGGTGGGCCTGCAGACTGAAGAGTCCCAGGTTCAATTCCTGCCAAGGGCAAAAGCCGGGGTTGCAGGCTCAATGCCAAGTAGGGGGTGTATTGGAGGCAGCCGATCACGAATTCTCTCTCACCATTGTTCTCTCGTTCTCTCTCTCGTTCTCTCTCTCTCTCTCTCTCTTTCTCTCTCTCACCCTTTCCCCTCTGAAATCAATAAAAATATATTAAAAACTAAATTAATTAAATTGAGGCGTGGATACAAGCATATGGATTTCTGAGTGCTGCATTTGCATCATTCAGGGCCAGTGGGGTATATTTCTCAGATAGAAATGCAATGATGGGTTGGAGTTTACAGACTTCTCAAGTTGAAGCAAACCACAACAAAATGAACTTCTGTAAAGACACAGATTCTGATCCAGGTTCTAAGATGGGGCCTGTGTTTCCAAACGTGTCACAAGCTCACTTTTTACTTGTGATGCCAATATTTCCAAATCATGTGCCATACTTCTGGTTGGACACAACAAAATTGCCAGCTCGATCCCCGGTGTGGGGTGTGCAGGAGGCATCGGTTCCATGATTCTCTCTCATCGTTGATGTTTCTATCTTTCTCTACCTCTCCCTTACTTTCTGAAATTCATACAAATATACTTGAAAAAAAGAAAAAATACTCAAAATAATGTTAACAATTTAGGCACAGAGACACACATCTTATAAGTATGAAATCAAGATGGTTAGGTGATTCCATAAATCTCATGAATATATTTGTGTATGATCCCCTTTTTGTTTTATAAGCAAAATAAGGACAGAAACATAAGGATACAAAACAAGTTAAGACTTATTATTTCCATTGTGTGGTTGTAAATCCTCACCTCCAGAGTTTTTTTCCAATGAGTTTCGTAGAGTAGGAGGCAGGGAGGTAGAAGCACAAAAGGGAAAAGGTGCGAGTGAAAAAGAGAGAGACACACACACACACATCAATGTGAAAGAGACAGAGACACATGGGTTGCCTGCCTACCACATGTACCCAGGACCTACTTGCCAGAAACCAGGAATCAAACCCTCCACCACTGATCCACACCAGACTGAGGGAACTAATTTTTCTTACTAGTACATTTCTTTCCAAATTTTTATGTATCATTAGTGGAAAGTTATATTGTAGAAATTTAATGAAACTGAACATGCATTAATAACATTCTTTGAAACTTTCTAGAAAATACAAAAAGTGATCATGTAGGGTATGTCTCTCATGTGAGTATAGAACAGTGATGGCGAACCTTTTGAGCTTGGTGTGTCAGCATTTTGAAAAACCCTAACTTAACTCTGGTGCCATGTCACATATAGAAATTTTTGGATATTTGCAACCATAGTAAAACAAAGATTTATATTTTTGATATTTATTTTATATATTTAAATGCCATTTAACAAAGAAAAATCAACCAAAAAAATGCCTTTGCATGTCACCTTTGACACGGGTGTCATAGGTTCGCCATCACTGGTATAGAATATAATGAAAAGTTAAAGACTCAAGGTCTGATTGTTTAAAAGATCCCATGAAAAAGCCAATGATCCGTAGGAAATAAAAGTCCTTCATTTTCAAAAGCAAACACAAACTAAGGAGAAGAACATTTCCAGATGTGAATGAGGTCTTTGCACATCTTTCATTAAACCCCTACTACACCCTTGTTCCTCAGAAAGGGAGAGTATTAACTCTACAGTGAAGGGAGCATCTCTGCCACGTGATCATCAGGGAGCCTGAGACAATGGGCATCAGGTGACTGAGGCACACGGGAAGTCAGGTCACCACTGCTGTGACATTACTGCCAAAAATACCTCAATAAAGAAATCATTATGTGGAAATGATCACAAATAAACATTAATTCTTGCAAGTGCCAACCCACAGGTACCTCTCAGGTTCTGTAAGCAAACAGTATATTTGAGTACCAAAACTTTCCCCCTAATCTAGTGAGCAAGTCTCTTCCATTTATTATTTACTCTTCACTAAGAACTTGCTGAGCTATTTTGAACAGTAAAATGTGCATTTTCTTACTCCCCATCATGAGCTGATGTTGCAGCCACTTGAACCTAAAACCTATCTTTCCCTTCTTCAAGACACAAGAGCCTCTGACCCCATCCCAATAGGGATGTTAGACATGGATGCCTTCCCAGGTGGATCTGTCATAAAAAGGATGTTTTGAGTACTTGAGAGTCATTAATTAAAGGTGGGAATGCTTCCTGACCTTGTGGAGGCTGCATAAAATGAAGGCAGAGAAGGCTCTGGGAAAAAGGAGAGAAATATAGCCGGGCCAATGAGGCTCAGAGGTAGAGCGTTGACCTTTGAGCCAGGAGGGCGGGGTTCCATTCCAAGTCAGGGCACACTCCAGGTTTCAGAATTGATCTCCAGTGAGGGGTGTGGAAGAGGCAGCTGATCAATGATTCTCTCTGCTCATTGATGTTTCTCTCTCTCTCTCCCTCTCCTTGCCATTCTGAAATTTAAAAGCCATTCTGAAATTTAAAAAAAAAAATTATATATATATATATATATATATATATGAGGGAAATATAGAAACTGCTGACACTATTGGCAGAAATAGAAAAGCTATTTCTAAAATTAATGTGAATGTCACAGGACTCCATGCAACCAACTCAATCAAGAAAAGAATGTATGAAATTAAAGGCTTCAGGCTTCCTGATTTTAAAACATACTTCAAAGCTTCTGTTATCAACAACTATAATGCAGCCCTAGCCAGTATGGTCAGTGGATAGAGAGCCGAACTGTGAACTGAAAAGTCCCAGGTTTGATTCCTGTCAAGGGCACATGGGCGGGTTGCGGACTTGATCCCCAGTTCGGGACATGTAAGAGGCAGCCTATCAATGATTCTCTCTCCTCATTGATGTTTCTACCTATATCTTCCTCTCCCTTCCTCTTTGAAATCAATAAAAAAACCCAAAAAAATTATAAACAAAGAAATAAAAAACCTGTGATACAGACATTACAAGAAATAATAAAGGAAGGTAGAATAAAAGGCCTACATAGACATTCTCCTGGAAAGATGTAAAGATCTTCACCGAGAAAGAATTGGGTAAGCCAGAGCAGGGACAGGAAGGGGGGTTTAGGGATGACAAAGTAGAGGGAAAAGCAGCACTGAGAATGAGCTAGCTGTAGGTCACAGGACACAGTGCAACAGGGGAGCAGAGGGGACAGGGGACACAGGCATGAGAGAAAGACAAATATATCAACAAATGTTAGAGGAAAAGCAAACAGAGCCTCTGACCCAGGACACATCTTTTACCTGAGAAGCAGCCATTTGGTCCTGGTCCTGATGGGGTCTGGGTTGTTTCCTCAGGAGACAATATGTTGAGGAGTCACAGAATGTGCCTTCAAAGGCGTCCCCACAGCCTGTTAATCAGCTCCCCTCACACAGTCAGAAGGACCTGGAAATGAGGAAAAGGACACCCCCTCCTGTCCTGTGTCACAGGAGAGAGTCAGGAACAATGAGCTCCTACAGGGAGACCACACTGAGATTTTTTTTCTGTCTTCATGTGTCAAACACTTCCACAAACTCCTACAGGAATGAGCACATGTGCTGCTCTGCTGAACCCCCAACCCCACAGAGCACCCCTTACCTTCTCTGAACAAAGCCTGCCCTGGGGGCCCTGACCAGCATCTTTAACTGGTTCCCTCCTGGGCCTCCCAAGCTGCCCCAGAGCTGTTTTCAGGGGCGCTGGGTACAAGACACCAGACCCAGCAGCCCTGAGACGTGTGAGGATTGGGAGGGGGAGAAGCAGGAACTTGTACACGTGCAGGTTTCCCAAGCCTTTGCGGTGGGGCGCGGAGGTGGGGTGCAGACCCCCAGGCCGGGAGCCATCCGGGCTTTTTGGGCAGAAGCGCCGGGCGGGGAGAGGGGCGCAAAGGGCGGGAACCCCCTGACCCAGACTCTCAGCCCCGCGGGGAGGACCGGCGGCCCCGGGAACGGTTTTCAGCGGGAAAACCGCGCGGCAGGCGGTGGCCACAGCCACAGGCGGAGAGACCCCGGGCCGGGGCCTCCGTTTCCTCCCAAAGGCACGTGACGCCCGCACCGCGCAGCCTCCCGGGACGCGGACTCACCGCTGAGAGAGGCTCCCGGGCGGGGACCCCAACAAGGACTTCAGCGCCGGCAGCGCCCTCAGCCTTCCCTGCGGGGAGCGGGACGGGGAGCGTCAGCTTTAAAGACAAACACCCTCCTCAGGGGAAACCGCCACCTTCCCCTCCACGGCCGCTTCCGCGTCTGCAAGGAACTGCGCATGCGCCTCCCTGCGGGGTGGGCGGGGCCAGAGCCTGAGCTGAGCGACTCACTGATGGAGGCGGAGCTAAAGCCTAAGCCAGAGCCTAACTAACCTCAAGCTCTGGAAATTTTGTTTCTTTGTTACTAATGCAATGGCCCCACCCCGTAACAAAGAAACAATTTCCGGTGGATGAGGCTCAGAAATCAGGATTTTAAACAGATTCCCAGGTGACTCTAATGTGCAGCTAAGGTTGAGAACCACTGCTATAGATAATAAACGTGCAATTCTTTGTGCAAAACATGAGCATGTTCAAAAGTTAAAGAAAATTTGGATATACTCAATGTAGATTTTCACACATATTTGAGTGATAATTCCATTGATTCCACTGATGATGCTGAAAAGGAAAATTTTCCCATCCAATTTCTTAATAGTATTACTCCTTCAGGAATGCCATTTCATAAATTAAAATTGAAAGTGGGTGCAATCATCATGCCATTGAGAAATCTCAATAGTAAATGGGGTCTTTGTAATGATACCAGATTTATTATTAAAAGGTTACAAACTAACATTATTGAAGCTGAAGTATTAACAAGATCTGCAGAGAGAGAGGTTGTTCTGATTCAAAGAATTAGTCCCCATCTGACACTGGCCTCCCATTTGAATTGATTCGACAACAGTTTCTCGTGATGCCAACATTTGTGATGACTATTAATAAATCACAAGGACAGACCTACCGGTTTGGCTCAGTGGATAGAGCGTCAGCCTATGGACTGAAGGGTCCCAGGTTCGATTCAGGTCAAGGGCATGTACCTTGGTTGCAGGCACATTCCCAGTACGGGGTGTGCAGGAGGCAGCTGATCGATGTTTCTCTCTCATCGATGTTTCTAACTCTCTATCCCTCTCCCTTCCTCTCTGTAAAAAATCAATAAAATATATATTTAAAAAAATCACAAGGACAAATTCTAGACAAAGTAGGCATATTCCTAACGACTCTCCGGTTTGACCTGTGTAGCCTCTTCGGGGAGGATTGGAACCTGCCCCAGGACAGACCCAGGCTCAAGAATTTGGGCCCAGCCGGGTCGCAGCTGGGGATCCCCGGGGAATGGCTACACACAGGGCCGCAACCACCTATGGCTGCGGGACCCGAGGGACTGCACAACAACTATGACATACCCCCCTATATGTCTGCTCTCGCCAGCCCAGGATTGCCTTTCTGAAGTGCGGAAACCAGAAGGCTTATTATTGTGGACAGTGGGGCTGTGAAACCTATGCCAAATGGCCCCCAAAGCTTACAAACAGGGACATACGATTCACCCGACAGGTGTGGCCAGGGGCCCCGGAAAGGAACTGTACTGTTGGAAACTGCAACCCCACTGTCATCAAACCAGTGGCCTATTGGGCTAAAGACTGGACCGGGGAAAGACATGGGGATTGAGGCTATATGTCTCTGGACCAGACCCTGGGGTACTATTTACTATCCAGCGACGGGAAATACCCCGACCGCTCAACCCAATTGGCCCCCTGGCCCCTCAGCGACCCGAGGTCAGGAGACCAAGCCCGGCCCCACGTGTGACGAGCTGCCACCACCATCATCAAAGACTGAGGCAAGGAAAACCAAGATGGCGGCATAGGTTAACGCTGGAGTTTGCTGTCTCGAACAATCAATTCAAAAATACAACTAAAAGACGGAACAGACATCACCCAGAACCACAGGAAGGCTGGCTGAGGAGAGATTCTACAACTAGAAGTAAAGAGAAATCCATACCGAGACTCAGAGGAGGCGCAGTACGGAGGTGAAATACTAAGGTGCGGAGGTGCACGTGGAGCAGGCTGGCGGCAGAGGGTCCAGTTGGTGGTTTCAATAAGGAGGGAGTTTCAGACTCTGAGCTCCAGATCCGGGCGAGTCTCTAGGGACCCAGACTCAAACAGGAGAAGCGGGAAGGCAGCTTTCTCTCCGAGGTTTGCAGCGGTTGCAGAGCCGCAGGGGACTGAACTGAGAACAGCCATAACTGCTCGCTCCCCCGCCCAGTAGATCCCCTGGGACCTGCCCCGCCTAAGCCCTGCACAGAGGCATTTGCCCCATAGCCTCAGGCAAAGGCTAGATTAGCACCGCCCTAGAGATTCATCACAGAAGCTCTCCCACTGCAGACACAGCTGACTCTCATAGCCAGTTAGCCTGGAGGTCAATTCACTCCTTTATTGCCGACGACAATTAAGGCTTAACTACAACAAGACTTCGTACAAAGACCACAAGGGGGTGCACCAAGAAAGCATAAAAAATGCGGAGACAAAAAAACATGACAGAAATGGAGGATATAGAGCTAAAAAAACGCACTTTTGAGGGCTTTCAATAATTTGCTAGAAACTGCCGATAAACTTGATGAGAGCCTCAAGAAATCTAATGAGACCCTCGATTTTGTGATAAAGAACCAACTAGAAATTAAGCATTCACTGACTGAAATAAAGAAAATTATACAGACACCCAACAGCAGACCAGAGGAGCGCAAGAATCAAGTCAAAGATTTGAATTGTGAAGAAGCAAAAAACACCCAACCGGAAAAGCAAAATGAAAAAAGAATCCAAAAATACGAAGATAGTGTAAGGAGCCTCTGGGACAGTTTCAAAGGTACCAACATCAGAATTATAGGAGTACCAGATGATGAGAGACAGCAAGATATTGAAAATTTATTTGAAGAAATAATGACAGAAAACTTCCCCCACCTGGTGAAAGAAATGGACTTACGGGTCCAAGAAGCGCAGAGAACCCCAAACAAAAGGAATCCAAAGAGGACCACACCAAGACACATCATAATTTAAATGCCAAGAGCAAAAGACAAAGAGAGAATCTTAAAAGCAGCAAGAGAAAGAGACCCAATTACCTACAAGGGAATACCCATACGACTGTCAGCTGATTTCTCAACAGAAACTTTGCAGGCCTGAAGGGAATGGCAAGAAATATTCAAAGTGATGAATACCAAGAACCTACAACCAAGATTACTTTATCCAGTAAAGCTATCATTCAGAATTGGAGGTCAGATAAAGACCTTCACAGATAAGGAAAAGCTAAAGGAGTTCATCACCATTAAACCAGTATTATACGAAATGCTGAAAGGTATCCTTTAAGAAGAGGAAGAAGAAGAAAAAGATAAAGATACAAATTATGAACAACAAACATGCATCTATCAACAAGTGAATCAAGAATCAAGTGAATAAATAATCTGATGTACAGAATGAACTGGTGATTATAATGAATCAGGGACATAGAAAGGGAATGGACTGATTATTCTTGGGGGGGAAAGGGATGTGGGAGATGCGGGAAGAGACTGGACAAAAATCGTGCACCTATGGATGAGGACAGTGGGTGGGGACTAAGGGCGAAGGGTGGGGTGGGAACTGGGAGGAGGGGAGTTAAGGGGGAAAAAAAGAGGAACAAATGTAATATGAACAATAAAGATGTAATTTAAAAAAGATTTAAAAAAAGAGAGAAACAAAGGGGGTTTCTACAAAGGATAATATTGGGGATAAAAAAGGGCATGAAATAAAAAACGGAACTGATAAATGAACAAAAACCATCCAACAACAATAATGACAAAACAGATCATCAACAATGGAGAGGACAAAACTTTTCCGGCTCCAAAACTTTCTCATTATCAGATCTTCTCATTATTAGACCTTCCCTATAAATAACCCTGAAGAAATATACTTCTGGAGGTAATTTAAAATGTCAAAACAACACTAAAATATGAACTTATGAAGATTCCTTGTATGTGGGAAAATATAGAGAATATAAAAATGTATGGTGTTCTATAAAAACACACATATCATTTTGAATTCTCTTGTGGACATTTAGAAAATAAAATATTTTAAGTAGTTCCCATAGTCATAATAAAAATATCAAATGAATAACTAAAATGATCCTGTTAACAGGTGACAGAATTCTGTATTGCAAATCACATTGTACATTTCTAATAATATATGTATATAATTAATTTCTCCAAACATGGTACATAAAACCAAACAACAAAGTTAGCTATGTTTCTGTACATTAAAGACATTAATGCAAAATAATAAATTAAGTATGTGTTTACGTGAATAACAACATAGTGAAAATAAAATAGTCACAGTTTACTTCCTAGGAAGGTGCATGATTTGTATGCTGTCAAGCATAAAATACTGCTGGCTGCCCCCTGCAGTGTGCTCAGGGGTTAGAGCACGGGCCACCCAGCAAATGGTTGCAGGCTGGATCCCAACCCCATTTGTTATATGTGAGGAAGCCAAACAAACAATGTGTCCTCTCACCATCGATATTTTTCTCTCTCTTTCAATCCACCCAACCCCTCCTTCCCACTATCTCTAAAACTCAATGGGAAAAATATAATTGGGTGAGGATTAAGAAAATAAAACATATATGTATTTATATATACACAAACATATACACATTGCTGGCTGTAATTAAAGAAGAAATCACTACGTTGAAAAAAACATTCCATGATCCTACTGTGAAATGCTAACGGTAACACACAAATTCCATTTCTGGGGATTTATAGAGAGAACACAAATTCAAAAAGATATACCCACACATACATACACTGCAGCACTATTTGCAATAGCAAATATATCAGACTGAAAAACAAAAGACTATTTTTATAATGATGCGCTACCATCTATATACATAAATGCCTAAGCGACCGTTATGACCGGTCCACAGCTTGACCGGTTGCTATGATGCACACTGACCACCAGGGGACAGATGCTCAATGCAGGAGCTGATCCCTGGTAGTCAGTGCACTCCCACAGCCAATCTCCTGCGGACGGCCAAACTCCCGCGATCCCTCACCAGAGCTGGTTGGCCCTGTTCGGGACTGGGCAATACAGCGACGACCAGCTAGGCCAAGGGACCCCACCCCTGGATGAATTTGTGTACCACGTCCCTAGTTTAAAATAAATTAAACGACTTCATTTGACGTGACATGTAAGAAAACAAAATTTATATC